TTTAATTTGTAAGTTAAATATTTAGTTTATAAACTATGACATTTATAAATGTATGAATCATATGGTGAAAAACTGACTTTGAAAAATAAATCTGTTCTTTTTTTCTTATAAAAGGCTAAATAAAACAAAGATATTGGTGTAATTTTGACTAACTTTACAAACCCACAGCCCTTCAGTAAACGTGTCTTTGGCAGATTTGTTGTAGACTCGTCCAAACTTCCAGGTCCGTTTCACCTTTTCTTTTACTCTTTATAAACTTACATATGAGCGTTATAAAGCAGACTGAGTGTCACTAAAACAAGCAGTTTGTAAAAATGATCAACATTTCTGAAACTGTTCATTTCTCATGTAGTTGAAGTGAAATGTTTCCTGGTGTTTAAAGAAATAAAAGATGAACCATGTTTGGTCCATGCCCCCCCTCAGCAGTTCTCTCTGACCAGCACATACTTCATCAGCCGCATGGAGCCTTTCTTCCCTCTCCACGACGTCCGGTAGCGGCCCATCCTCCTCCTCTGACCCCTCCAGGTGGCCACCAGCAGCACGGAGCAGCAGCAGCCCAGCAGGACCGTGACGCAGACGGACACTAAGACCAGCACGGTGTGCGCGGCCACCTGCCACCCGGGTCCCAGCTCGCCCTCCACCCCCTGACCCCCTGCAGTCTGGTTCCTCTGGAGGCCGGCCTCGCTGCTGCCTGTGGAGCTCAGCCGAGTCCAGGTGGGTCCAGTGCTGCTGGGCGTGTCGTGGTGGGCCGGGGTTGGATGGAGGCTGGAGATGAAGGGAGCTGTAGCAGAAACGTCCAGAGGAGTCTGGGAGTCGGGATGGCCAGCTGGGACACCGGTGCTGACCGTGGAAGGTGTGGTGGAGTCCGGTGAGGATGGAGAAGCAGACACGTCACTTCCTGAAGACGGTGATGTTTGTCCAGAGGGAGAGGAGACAGATGTGAGCTGACAGGTCCTCTGTGCCGGGGTGGTGTGCTCTTCTCTGGCTGGAGTCCCAGGCGTCGGCGGGGAGGTGGAGGTCATCTTCTCAGGAGGAGGATGGATGAGCTGCCGCTTGTCGGGGGGCAGCGGCTCGGAGGCGTTCATCCGGCTGAAGTGGTGAGGTAACACTCGAACGTTGGACGTGAAGTATTTCCCAAACACCAACAGATCAGGGTCCACTCCTGAAACACCAAGACATTTTTCTCATTCTTTTACCTCTAAAAGAAAGAACAGTGTTGTTTAAAGCAGAGGTTCTCAAACTGGGGTTCCAGGACCCCCAGGGGTCCATGGGCCCTATCTTTGGGGTCCTCCAAAAATTTCAATAAAGTTTTATTTTGGATTTTATTTGAAAAAGGAATATGGGTTAAAATACACCAGTAAAACAAACATACCAAACCAAACAAAAACAATATTCTCTTAGTATTTAGGGGTTAAAATGACAGTAATTTTTTTCTAAAACAGTACGGGGTTTATGAGGGGGTCCTCAGACCCAAAACGTTTTAATCCCTGGTATAAAGTACCTCAAAGTGATAATTGAGTAAAAGCACAAGTATCTTATCATAAAGTCTTCTCTAAAAATATTACTTGAGTAAAAGTCTTAAAGTATCTGATATTTTTTGTACTTAAGTATCAAAAGTAAATTTCTGACACAAAATCTACTTAAGTATTAAAGTAAAAGTACTGAGTAAAAGTGAGCGGTTAGATTTTCCAAAATGACATTTATTGGGAGGTGACTTCTCCAAAAACTATATTTTCTAACAGCGTGCAGCTGTGATGGGTTGTGTACAAGCTAATAGTGTGTCAGAATGGTATATATTTATACTTCTCATCCAAACACAATTAAATTCACTCTATAGGAGAGTAGGGGTGTAAGAAAATATGATACACTGAAATATTGCGATATTTCATTTCCTGATACTGTATCAATATTCTAAAGC